CCACTGACCTGGGAACTGGGAGCTGGACAAGATAATGCTGTTGTTGTGTCATTAACCAGTGATCCAGGGGATGGGAAGTGTAAGGGCTAAGGCCTATTACTATAAAATCTCTGCAGTTTTTAGAAGTGGCCTGTAAACTCTTTTGTCTTCCCATAAGCTTGAGTTGAGAGGTAAAGCTTTGTTCTCTGTGATGAGTGAACCACGAGGCCATCTCCAACCACGCTGTGAACATGAAGAGAATTGTCTAAATGATGCTCATGCTCAGAAACTGGTTTCCTGCCAGATGGAAGGAGGCTGAACAAGTGGGATAGCTGGGAGGGAGTGAGAATCATGGATGGCCCGGGTGGGAAGGGGCCATGAAGATCATTGAGTTCTGGGTAGGCAGTGAAGTCATGGAAGGGCTGAATGTGGAGCTGGAGACACAGTGGCTGCCAAAGGAGCTGAGGAGGTGGGCAGGTGCTGGGATGCCCAGGAGTGCCTGCTGCTCAGGTGTGGGGGTGTGTGTCGTTGCAGGAGTGCTGATCCACAGCCACAGCCCGCGCTGGGAAGGGGTCCCGTTCCTCCTCAGCTCCGGGAAGGCTCTGGATGAGCGGGTGGGCTACGCCCGCGTCCTCTTCAGGAGCAGGGCCTACTGCCCTCAGAGCGGCACTCTGAGGGATGCAGGGCTCAGCCCCTGTAAACCCAAGCAGATCATCTTCTACTTCGGGCACGGCGCCCTCAACACCCCTGCGGTGCTGGTGAGCAGGAACCTCTTCCAGCCTGCCATGCCCAAAGACAGCTGGAAAGAAGCTGGGGCTCGCTCAGACCTGCACGTCTTCGGCCAGCCGCTGTCTGATTTCCACATGTACAGCCCTGTGAAGGAGAGGGATGCCTATTCTGTCCTCATCTCCCACATCTACCACGGCAGGAAGGATTTCTTCATCACCACGGAGAGCCTGCTGGCCTCCTGGGCCTTCTGGACCCCTCTGCTGGACAGCACCTCCCGCCAGCCCCCGCGCCTCTACCCCGGGGGCGTGGAGAACCAGCAGCTGCTGGACTTTGAGATGGTGCCTGGGGGAGTGGCATTCACCCTGGCAGAGCCGGCAGAGCTGCTGAACCCCGGCGGGCAGCTGCCAAGTGACTTCAGGGCCATCCAGTCCAAATTCCGGCAGAGCCCGCTGGTCTCGGCCTGGGCCGAGGAGCTGATTGCCCAGCTGGCCTCCGACATGGAGGAGGCGGCCGTGAGGAGCGTGGCTCGCTCGGGGCAGTTCCACCTGGCCCTGTCGGGCGGCTCCAGCCCCGTGGGGCTGTTCCAGAGGCTGGCCAGGCACCACTACAGCTTCCCCTGGCAGCACAGCCACGTGTGGCTGGTGGACGAGCGCTGCGTGCCCCTGACCGACAGCGAGTCCAACTTCCTGGGCCTGCACCGGCACCTGCTGCAGCACGTCAGGGTGCCCTACTTCAACATCCACCCCATGCCCGTGCACCTCAACCGGCGCCTCTGCGTGGAGGAGGACAGCGGCGCCGAGCTCTACGCCAAGGACATCGCGGCCCTGGTGGCCAACGCCAGCTTCGACCTGGTGCTGCTGGGCGTGGGCGCGGACGGGCACACGGCCTCGCTCTTCCCGCGCTCCGACAGCGGCCTGGAAGGGGCTCCCACCGTGGTGCTGACGGAGAGCCCCGTCAAGCCCCACCAGAGGATGAGCCTCAGCCTGCCCCTCATCAACAGGGCCAGGCAGGTGTTCGTGCTGGTTCTGGGCAAGGGCAAGCACGACATCACCACGCTGCTCAGCAGGGTGGGCCGCGAGCCGCGCAAGTGGCCGATCTCGGGGGTCAGCCCCAGCTCCGGCCAGCTGGTCTGGTACGTGGATTACGAAGCTCTGCTGGGGTGATGGCTGCCCCATGTCCCCCTGCCTCGTCTGCGTGGCCTGGGTTGTCCTGCACCGTGCCCTTGTTGCTCCAGCAGCAGCCTCATCCCTGACCTCCCTTTGGGACATCCGTGCCTGCAGCAGCGCTGGCCCTGGAGCCGGGGGAGCTGGGCTCAGGGTCCAGAGCTCAGGAGGAGCCAAAGCCCAGTGCAGCCTCTCTGGCTCTGCTCTGGCTCCTGGCTGGGACTTTGGACAAATGGCTTCACCTCGAAGTGCCTCAGTTCTCCTGTCAGGCCTTTGTGCTTACTGGCATGTAAAACTACCTCACAGGCGCTTCGGGGGACTTGTTAAATCAACTGCCTGCCAAATTCTGTCTAATTTGATGTAATTCTCAGGCTAAAAGACAATAGTGCCACGTTCATCCCTGCCCTGCTCAGCCTGGCTGGGCCAGAGCCGTTGTCTCAGGGCAGTGATGGTGGTGTGCACAGGGATGTGTAACCCTGGGTGTTCTGGGGCTCTGAAAGTAATGAGGAGTGTGGCAGCTCACAGAGCTGCTGTTTGCCAGCACTGCAAGAATTACTGAGGGAAAGCTTGGTGCTCAGAGGAATTGTTTGGTTTAGCTAGCAGAGAAATCTTTTATTTTTAAGCAAAAAATGCCCACGTTAACTTCATTCCAGTTCTTTTGTATTTGGTGTGAGGGAACAAGTTTTAGTGAAAAAGTGACCTATGAGACAGTAACTACATTGTTGTGAATAATAGTTTATTGCTGTCTTACAGGTGTCTGTGGCATTAGAGTTTTCTTACTTTTGCACACTTGCTTGGTAATGTGTGGCTGGCACCTCCTGAAATGAACACTGAAAGGTTTATTTGCACTTTGAAATAAGCACATGGGTTTTTCCCCGGGAACTACTGTTTTTTCAGGTGAAAATAGGGTTTATTTCTGAAGTCTCTATCTAGTGGGTCACCCCAAAATGTATCTGAGATTTTATTGAAATCCATTAAAAGCTTCCACGTTTTCCTTGGTGACTGGAGCTATCTGGGTTGTTTGGGGGATTTTTCAGAAGGGTATTTTTTTTCCATGCAGACAGTTTCTGTTGAACACTTTAATACTTAGCATTTGCTAAATGAAAACCAAATATTTTTGAATATACAAAATTTATGACTGGAAAGAGAGAGACTGGATGGGAAGAAGGGTTAAATGAGCAACAAATCTGATGAGAAGGAATGGTAGCAATCCACTGGGCTGTAGGCCAAGGAAGCAGGGCTATTTTTATTTTGTGAAAGTTATTAATAGAAAGTGTGCACCTTCTTGAGAGCTTGTATTAACCTTTCTTTGCAAAGGCAGCTCCATGGAATAACTTCTTGCAGTCTGTTTCTCCCATAAGTGATTATTGATATGAATTTTTATTCATTTTTTAAAAGTCAAATGCATTCCTACAATTCAGTGGTATGATTATATGTTTTACAGAAAGCAAACACTGGAAATAACTAATTTCTCACTTCAACTTTTATAAATCAAATTGTAAAAATTTTTTTCCCATGAGTAAAGCTTTGTGATTCTTTCATGTTGTTCAATGAATAAAGAATTATATTTATAAAAAATAAGTAGTTTTTAACCAGAAGTGTCTTTTAATTTCTTCCAGACATGGGTGGTCTTTCCCTGTCCTCCTGCTGAGTGAAGTTTCAGGGTTTTAGCTGAGTGAAGTTTCAGGGTTTTAGTTGTGCAAAGTGGACAGTGTCACTGCAGTATTAAATGTTCACTCTGATTCTTGCTTTTCGTTTTTTCTTTTTGTTGCCTCATCCAGACAAAGCCAGGACTTCTCAAAACAAGGAGCAGACACAGCCCTTTTAAGGTGAGAAGATGGAATCACCCAGTGCTGTGCAGGGGCCTGGAATGGCCCGGCTCAGGCACACAAAGCTGCCCCTGCTGAGTGTCCGAGTGTCCAGCACACAGAGCTGCCCCTGCTGAGTGTCCGAGTGTCCAGCACACAGAGCTGTCCCTGCTGAGAGTCCAGCACACAGAGCTGTCCCTACTCCGTGTCCAGCACACACAGAGCTGTCCCTGCTCAGTGTCCAGCACACAGAGCTGCCCCTGCTGAGTGTCCGAGTGTCCAGCACACAGAGCTGTCCCTGCCCAGTGTCCGAGTGTCCAGCACACAGAGCTGTCCCTGCTCAGTGTCCAGCACACAGAGCAGCCCCTACTCAGTGTCCAGCACACAGAGCTGTCCCTGCTCAGTGTCCGAGTGTCCAGCACACGGAGCTGTCCCTGCTCAGTGTCCGAGTGTCCAGCACACAGAGCTGTCCCTGCTCAGTGTCCGAGTGTCCAGCACACAGAGCTGTCCCTGCTCGGTGCCCAGCACACAGAGCAGCCCCTGCTCAGTGCCCAGCACACAGAACAGCCCCTGCCCAGTGTCCGAGTGCCCAGCACACAGAGCAGCCCTGGTTTGCGCAGGAGTCGCTGCTGTGCCTTTCCTCTCTCCTCTCTGCAAGCCCAGAGCCGCTCTGCCAGCAGCAGAGGGTGCTGCCTGCCCGTGCTGCTGGCTGCCTTTCCCAGCCCTGTGCTGCCGGAGGAGCCTCTCCAGGCCCGGAGCAGCCCGGCTGTGTGTGACACAGCGCAGGGCTCGGGAGTGGCCCCTTCCTGCACCTGCAGGACTGGTGTCAGCAGTGAACCCCTGTGGTTTCAGTGGGAAACCCACTGGGGTGCTCCCCTCGTGGGGAGACAGTCACCTACAGCACCTCAGGGGTAACTCGGCACTCTGCTGGGGCTGGCAGTGCTGCTCTAAACAGGACAGGGAGTGAGTTCTGCATCCGAGTGCTCCCGTTACATATATCCCTTCTTTAAGGCATCTTCACATCCAGCACCCTGTGCTGAGACAGAAAGGCTAAGGGGTCATGAGAGGAGCATCACAGCATCACTCTGCTCTCCAGGTGAATGCAAAGCAAAATGCCTGGATTCTACTTTTTTATTTTTATTTTTATAAAGGATTTCATTTCATTCAGCAGCTGCCTTTCCTTGTGTTGCAGTGTGTGAAGTGCTGTGCTGGCTGTGCTGGCATCTCAGCTCTCAAGAAGGGACTAAAATGAAGATAACTACTTCTTTTTCCTGCAAAGCACCCCTGGGGAATGCCTCTTTTCTCCTCCATGCCCCTCTCTTTTACCCCCTTTTCCACCCCATCTTCCAGCTGGGGAGGGTTTGTTGATTGTGCCCTGGGCAGCCTTGGCAGGGTTTCTCCCTGGTGAGGCTGCTTTGTCACAGCCCCTCTGTCCTGCAGCACACTGGGCTGCTTTGGCTTTGTGGCTGCTCTCAGAGGCACTCATTGTTCCTCTCTGCTGCTTGGTGTCCCTCAGAGCCCGCAGGCACAGCCTGCCTGCAGCAGGGACATGTTTTGGGGCACAGGGGGCTTGGGCTCTGCCCTGCCCGGCTGGGTACAGCAACAGGATCCCCTGTGCTGCTGCAGCCCTCAGCCTCCCAGCAGAAAGCACATCCAGAGTCTGTTCCAGCCCCACAGTCCGTGCTGGGAGTCCAAAGGATGGAAATCTTTAACTCCAGACATTCCAAAGGGACGCAGTTGTCAGGAGGTGGATGCTCATCCCCGGCAGACCCCAGAGCCAATCTGCAGTGCTGAATGCTGACCACAAGAAAGCAGGCATGCCAAGCCATTCCCCCTCCCACCTTCCTTTTGATAGTCTTAGCATAAACTCACAAGGATGGGAGCTGGAAAATCCAGCTAATCTCTGGCTAATCCAGGCTCCATCCCCAGTCAGTCAGAGGGATCCCATGCAGGCCACAAACACTGGCCCCTGTCAGCCACCCCCTGTGCCTCTGTTTCTGCTGTTGTGTCAGATGGAGACAGTGCTCAAAGCAAGTGGCTGAAGATCAGCAATTCCTGCTTCCTGAGCAAGCAAAAAGTCAAATATTAAGGAAATAAAAGCAGACAGGATTCCACAGGAGCTGTGATCTCATCTGGCGAGAAGCCACCACAAAGCTGAGAAGTTCTGCTTCAGCACTTGTCACGTCTGGTTTCCTCCAGCTTCCCTGCTGCTCCTCTCATTCCTCCAGCCCACTTCTCCCTGAAATTAGTGGGGGAAAGTAACTTAAATATGAGCAGGACCAGGTCAAAGCAAAGTAGTTTTGAAAAAGCTACCCAAATGTATATCTGTTTGACATAAACCCTCCTATTTTTATTTTGCAGGGTGTGAAAGAACATATTTGTGCTGTATCCACAATCCCCCCAGTGTTCTGCTCAGCTGGAGTAATACATTTATTGTGTTGTGAATGTGGTTTCTTTTGAAGGACCACAGTGGCTGGCATAGAGCAACTATTCCCCACAGACATCAAAATATGCTCAACAAATTAGTGAATTAACTGTGCTTTTTCTTTCACATGTATCCCAACACCATCAGTGATGAGAAATGTCAAGAGCCACGCTCATGTCCAACCCCAAAAGCAGTGAGAGCAGCAGGCAGGGGCACTGGTTCCCCAGTGACTGAGGTGGCAGGCTGCCACCCCCTGAATCACACACCACTTCCTGCAGCTCCCAGGTGGTCCTTGGAGGTATCCCCTGCAATATGGCTTGCTGAATTTATGCCAATCCACGGCTTTACAGCTTGAGCTGCATTGCCACAAACCAGTCCTTTTGTCTGGAAACACGAAAATCAATCACCTCAAAGGGGCACCACCGGGGCAGATTTGTCCAAAGGGCTGCTTTTGGAATGAGGACTGAAATGAACAGAGTTGTACTTCCCAGGTTTATTTCAGTAAACAAATGAGTCTTTAAAAAGCAAACAGCCATTCCCAGGAGCGGCTGAAACAAATCACAGGATCGGTTAGGTTGGAAAAGCCCTCTGAGATCGCCGAGTGACACACCACCACCACGTCCACCGGAGCACGGCACCGAGTGCATTCCCTGAACACCTCCGGGCACGGAGACTCCGCCAGCTCCCCGGGCAGCCCTCCCCGCGCCCGACCCCCTTCATGTGCAGAAATGCAGAATATCCTGTGTGGCTGCGCGGGCACCGCGGATGGGCACCGAGGATGGCACCGAGGATGGGCACCGCGGAGATCCCCAGCGCCGTGCCCAGGGCTGGCTGCTGTTTCCAGCCGTTCCTGGAGCGAGGGTGGCACAAGGGCACCGAGCAGCCCAGATTTCACACAGGAAGGGTGATGGCCCGGCGATGGGCACAGGGGCGGCCGCTGCGGGGCTGTCGCTGTGCCCGCGACCGCCGCCTCCGCCGGCGGCAGCGCCCCGATCCGCTGCTCCCCGATCCTCTGCTCTCCGATCCGCTGCTCCCCCAGGCTCTGCTCCCCGATCCTCTGCTCTCCGATCCGCTGCTCCCCCATCCTCTGCTCCCCCATGCTCTGCTCTCCGATCCGCTGCTCCCCCATCCGCTGCTCCCCCATCCGCTGCTCTCGGATCCGCTTCTCCCCGATCCGCTCCGCAGCTTCCCCCGCCGGCCCCGCTGCTCCCCGGCCCCGCTCCATTCCCAGCCCTGCTGCGTTCCGGCCCCGCTCCGTTGGGCGGTGCCAGCTGCGGAGCCGGGGCGAGGCCGGGCCATGGCCGCAGCCCTGCCGGGGCCCGGCTGCAGCGGGGGCGGCCCGGGGCTCTGGTGGGGCGAGGGGCCCGGGGCACTGATGGGGTGCTGGAGCCGGGGGTTCTGATGATGGGGCGATGGCCCCGGGGCTCCGCAGCCGCGCCGGGGATGCCGCGGGAGGGGCGGCTGCCGGAGCCCGGTACCGTGCGGGGCTCGGAGAGCAGACACCGGTAACCGGTGCCGTGTGGGGTTCGGAAGGCAAACACCGGTAACCCGTGCAGATCGCTCGCTAGGGTACCGGGCTGTTCGTGCAGGGTCTGCGGGGGATCCGGAGCACACCTTACAAGGTCTGGTTGCTGTGTCTCGTCTCTTACTCCATAAAGCTCTGCGAATACGACGGGGCTTTACATAATCCTCTATCTGAAGGACCTGGACTGCTGTTGTAAGGTCAGACTTGCTGTAGCCTCCTGCTGGACCATGCTGTGTTTTGTCCTTATTCCCTGGCTAAGGTGGGCAGCCAGGGTGCCCGGTGGCCATGCCTGCTTCAAAAACTGTCAATTGTCTGAGCCGTGGCTCAAGATAAGGAAGTTTACAAATGATTGTAAAAATGGGAGTTGCTCCTTGGAGAGAGATCACCTCTTTCTTTTTTTTTTTTTTTTTTTTTTTTTTTTTTTTTTTTTCCCCCATGATAGCGATGCAAGCTGGTTCAATGAACCTTTTGTCCCAGGAGTAATCTGTGTCTTTCCCACCCCTCCAACATCTGATTTCCACATCAGATGCAGCGTTGCAAAGCTCAGCAGCACAGACAGCTCAGCCTTGCTGGTGTAAGTTGGCTGCTGCACCATCAGGACCACACTGGGCAGAGCCTCCAGGGCCTTTCAGCGAGAGTGGTCTGGCCATGGGCTGGCAGAGTGCTCTCCCAGCCTGCAAGGAAGGACATTTCCGTGGTGAGTTAATAAGGGAGCAGCCAGGAATGCCACAGAGCCGCGCTGCTGTTGGCAGAAGCGGAGGAGCATCTTCCCTGAGCTGCCCTGTCCCTCCTGCCCTGTCACTGCTGGCCCTGCCCAGGCTCTCAGTAGTGGTGCTGATGGATGCATCAAGCAGAATTTGCTCTTCACCCCCTGTAAGGCAGGGGATGAGCTGCAGCAGTGTGTTCCTCAGGGGATGTTGCAGTGCAGCAGCCTTTGCAGCCTCTCTCTGCTCTGGAGGTTACTGAAGTGCACTATCATGTGCTCTGGGGCTTGTTTGTAAACTCCTGCTGGATGCTGCTGGGATGTGGCTGCTGTTCCAGGAGCTGGCAGCTGTGCTGGTGTGCAGTCACTCGCTGCTGCTGGAGCTGGGAATGGCCTCTGCTTGTTGCTCTCCTCTCTCTGGGTTGCTTTTTCCCCCTGGACCCTGTTTCCTTTCCCCAGAAAAAGTGAAAGCAGCCTGCAAGGTCTGCTTGTCTTGTGAGGGCTAATTAAGAATTCATTAAGTTCCTGGAATTTAAAATCTGTAGCTAATGAGCCAGTGAGGACACTGTGCCAGGGTTTGGGACTGCGTGCGGGCAGTGCTGACAGATAATGCTGCAAGTCACCATGTAGCTTTTGAAGAATGTAAGATGTGGATTGGGTGTGTTCTGTGGCTCTCTGTGGTTTGTGTTCGGGTCAGGTTTTGTGGCTGATGCCTCTGCACACTCTGGAATTGGCATCTCAGGGGCTCTGAGAGGCCAGTGCTGTAATTTTGGGCTTTAGTACACTGGTACTTACTGAGCCTGGAGTCACCCAGGGCTGGTGTTGACAGGGGTGAGGATTAACTGGGCTGGCAGGGAGCCCCAGTGAGGTGGTTCCTGCTGGGCTGAGCTTATCTTCATGTCCTGTGCAGGAGCCTTGTACTGGCATTGACTGGCAGGGCAGCTCAGCATAGCAGCAGTGAGGAGCAGCTGCCAGACCTGCCTGAGCTGTGAGCTTCCCAGACTGGGGTCTGTGGGGCTGCTGCCCCTCTCCTTTGTGTTTCCAGGTGTGTGGTGGAGCTCACCCACAGCCTGCCTTGCCAAGTCACGAGTCAGACAGCAGCTGCCTTCAGACAAAGCTCTGTGATGCCTGCAGAGTAGAAGTGAGTAAGTGTCTGGTACCAGACTGCAGCCACTGGGTTCCTGTGCTGGTGGCCTTTGCAGAGTGAGCTCATGTCAAGGTGTTGACTCATTTTCAGTCATGCACTGCTCTGGAAAACAAAGAAATCTTCCCTTGAGTTACTCCATGTGAGTAACTGCTGAGGCTGCCTCTGTTTCCATGAATAATTGCTGGGGGAAGAGTGCAGTTGTCCTTGACAAAGATGGGATGTGGGCTACAGGTAATGGCCAAATAATTTCTGCTGAGTGTGAGAAATTCTAGCTAAAAAATAGCTAAAAGATGATGCCTTGTCATCCTCCCTTCTGGTTTCATGTGTTGTACTTCAGCATTGCAGGTCAGATTCAGAGTCTTTTGGGTCAGCATCTTTTTCTCATTTAGTAGAGAAACGGCCACATGTCTTTGCTTTAGCTTTTTTCCTTAGCACTGGAGGGTCTTGTGCACTGATATTTCCTTGTCTCATGGCCTTGTGAGTTTTTTCTGTTCTAGAAGATGGGAAGATAGACTCGAAGCTGAAGCAGTGCTGCTGCTGTGTAACAGTAAAACCTCCCCTGGGAGGAGAAAGTGACACATTTCTTTGTTCTCTTACAAAGCTTTCTCTTTAAGGAGAGAGTTTTTTACTTAAACAAACAAACAAAGGCACCCCAACAAGCAGCACCATCTGTCAGAAACCAGAGTGAGAGCAGTTGAGGCAGAAGGTGGTGGTGTCTGAACGGAGTTACCAAACATGGGCTTTTTCTTTTAGCCTGCAAGGGGAATTTGATGAAGCTTCTAAGTCAGAGCAGCTGTGTCGATGTTAGCTTCAAGCTGCTTTCTTTGGAGAGCTGGTATGTTATCAAGTCAGGAATCTGTCCTGAGGAGATCCCAGATGGGGCCTTGACACCATAAATGTACAAAGGCACTCAGTTGCACAAAAACTGCAGAAACAACTTCGTTCTGAAGAACGTGAGCCACGGATGGTGAGCTGCCAAGAAAAGCAAGCCAGGGGTAAGGCCAAGGCGTTCTCTACATGAGAAGGCTGCATCGGTCTCAGATGTTTGGAAATTCTTGGTGCAAGCTCCTCCGTGGATAAATTCTGGTTTGAATGGCCTCTTGTAAATTAAAATCCACTTGATGCAGAGATGTGAGAACTGCCTGCATCCTAACTGTAGTGACTGGAGGTTAGTAGCAGGCCCTGGAGTTTGCCAAGTGTGGTTCTTGCCCTGATTCACTGCTGGGTGGCACGTCAGCCCCTGGCTGTGCTGCTCAGTGAGAGGAGAGCAAGAATGACTCTGGAAATGCTTCCACACAGCAGCCTGTGCTCCTTCCTGCTGGCTGTGAGGGGTGGATGGGGTTGTGCAGTGCTGGCAGCAGCTCCACGTGGAGGATCTCCCTTGGTACTCAGTCAGCCCTTGAGTCTCACTGGATATTCAGTGCTCCTTGAAGGCAAACCAGTCATGTTTACATGTGGGCAGTGAGGGAGGGGTTGCTCTGTCCCACACTATCCCAGGGCAGTCATGCATCTGGGGCTTGGAGGTTCAGGAGGTGCCCATGCCAAGAAATACCCCGAGCTGTGTGAGCAGCTGGTGAGGGTGAGCTGAAGGGGAGGACCCGTGTCTGTGTCCCAGTTCCTGTAAGCTCAGCAGCTGCAGCATAACCCTGCTGACCCTTGTGCAGAGAAGGGCTGTGGGCCCGTGTGGATGCAGAAAGCACCTGGCTTGGTGCCTGTGGGCAGGAAATGGAGATGCTGGGCTCTGTGCTCCGGGCTCCTGTGACAGGCATGGCTGCTGCAGGCTGTGCTGTCCCCTCTGCCGGGCTCTGAGCCCTGGGCTGCCCTGCCTGCTGTCCCCACAGTGTCACTGCTCTGTCCTGGGGCACGCTGCAGCTGGGGCATGTGGGGTGGGAGTGAATGAACTGCTGAATGTGGATCTGCAGTGACCAGGGCGCTGCTTTTCCCTCTGTTATTCCCCCGTTCCTGGGTGCTGTGCTTCCCTCTGGCAGGGGTCAGCTGGGACAGCTTCCAGCCTCAGAGCTGGCCCTGGGCTGGCTTGGGGACTGGCATCCCCAGCCCAGCTCGGTCTGCAGGGCAGGAGGGCTGCACACGTGGCCCGGTTGCAGCAGGACCTTGCTGCAAGGCTGGGAGCGTGGCACGCTGCCCTGCCGAGGTGCAGCGCTGGGCACGATTAAAGAGGGGCAGCTGATCTGCTGTGGGGAGCCTGGGTGATGGTGCAGTCTGGGGAGTGGAGACAGACCAACAGCAAGCTGTGCTTCTGGGCTTCCAGGCTGTGGGTTTGACCTGCTGAAGGTTGAGATGGGGACAGAAAAAAGGGCAAGCTGTGTATCTTATGTTTTTTAATGTGTCAATGACTGAGCTCCATCCTGGGGCTTGGATACTGTCACTTCTTGATAGCTGCCTTAATTAATTGATCTTCAGGTGATCCACTCAAGGGCCAACAAACTGCTGAATACTGGGATTTTTTAAAGTGTGAAAGGAGCAGCTTGGGAGGGAATGGAGAGCTTTCCTGGGAGTTCACTCAGCTGTGTCCCTGACACTTGGTGTTCCTGACCCTCTGGCCAGCAGGGTGTCAGGTGGCTTCTGGTGACACTGCTGAAGGAACAGGTCCTGTGTGCCCACACAGGTCCAAATCTGCACTTGTGGCATGAGTAACAATAACGTTAAATAATTAAATCCGAGTCTTTATCTGGGTAACCTGGCAGAGCCTGGTGTGACACGGAACTGGGCTTGCAAGAGGCACAGCTCTGTGTGTCAACACTTCCAGAGGGAGTGGTGAGGTTGCCTGGCAGGAGCAGTGCCCACATCTGCAGGCAGGCTGGCACGGTGCAGTGCCCACATCTGCAGGGAGGCTGGCATGGAGCAGTGCCCACATCTG